GGCTGGATGACCTTGGGCAAGCCACAGTTCTGATGAGAGCTGTTCTTGAAAAAAGAGCCGTTTCTGTCAGAGCTCTCAGCCCCACCCACCTCCCAGGGTGTCTGTTGTGGGGAGGGGAAGGGAAAGGAGTTTGTAAGCCGCTCTGAGACCCCTTTGGGTAGTGAAGGGCGGGGTATAAATCCAATCTCTTCTTCTTCTTCTTTATACCCCCACCCTTCACTACCCAAGGGAGTCTCAGAGCGGCTTACAAACTCCTTCCCCTTCCCCTCCCCACAACAGATACCCTGTGCGGTAGGTGGGGCTGAGAGAGCTCTGACAGAAACGGCTCTTTTTCAAGGACAGCTCTGTGAGAACTGTGCTTGCCCAAGGCCATCCAGCAGGTGTGAGTGGCGGAGTGGGGAATCAAACCCGGTTCCCCCAGAGTAGAGTCCGCGAATTTAACCATGACACCAAACTGGCTCTCCACCCACTTTTTGCACTCCGAAGACTTCTGAACTGGCCCCCACCCTGGAGAGGGCGGGGGAGCTTCATCTCGCCCGGGGGTTTGCTGAACGGTGAGGAGGATAGAGGGAGCGATCTTGAGCTTCCGGAGTCCGGAGGGACGGTGGCCACTTGGTTCGCTTTGGGGAAGGGGCCTTCTTAGCCAGGGGTGGGCAAATCAGGATCTGGGAAGTCCGGTCCAACCTGCAGGAGCTTTTCGTCCGGGTCCCGAACCGCTGAGCGATTTATCCTCCAGACCCTGCAGCATTGTCTTGTGGCCAGATGCGGCAGAAGAACGGGTGACCAGCTGGAGGGCCCCGGGCCATTGAGAGTGGCTGAGGGGAAGAGCCACACCTGGGTCCGTACCTGCTCTGGAGTTGGGGGCTGGCTCTTCCTTTTCCCAGCAGGTGGGGACCCAGCTGTGGCCTCCGGCTGGAGAGTCTGCCCACCCTGCCGTAAGCGGCTTGTTCTTTGCCGCCCCACGACGGTGTCGTCGCCGGGGCGAGCGGAGCATCCCGCCCTTATCACCGTGCCGGCTGAGAGCAAGGCTGATTTCTCCCACTGCAGTCGGTTCGGTGTCGTGTTGTGTAGCTGGCGGCATGCCTGTTGCCATCATGGCCTCCACCCATCCCACTCCTGTCCTTGGATGCTCCGAGAGACCATGCGGCAAGTCTCCGCCGTCGCTACCCCCTCCGAGAGATCGCAGACGCGTTTCCTGGCAGCGTGCCAGGGAACAAGAGGCGCGACGGGGTGGTCAAGCGGTTAACACTCCCCTCCCTCTGCAGATGGCAAGGTGGGAGCTCACGTTCTGCTTGCTGTGTTGCTTCTTTCGGTATAAGACGCGTCTCTTCACGCGCAGAGAGAGAGGCCTCGTCTCTCTCACGTGAGCCCCTCTGTGCCCAGAAACCCTGCATCCGACAGCGGGTGGTCCTGAGCGGACTCACGAAAGACATGTGGACGGAGGAGCACGAGGACACCATGGATCTCTTCCTGAAGGACGTCACCAAGCAGCTGCTGGTGGCCTACGTGGAGGATGTGGCTGGGCTGAAAGTGGAGCTGGTCATGCCAAGCCAGGTCGGTTTCACTTGGAGCTCGCGGGGCCTGGTTCAGTAACAGCTGAGACTGGGTAGGGGGCGGTGCTCGGTGGGCAGCTTCTGATTGGAAACCACAGAACTGGAAGCCACGGAATTAGTCACAGCTGATAGTCCTTACACGTGTGCCGCTTGAGACCAATGCAAAACACACGAGTGCATGAAGCTGCCTTGTACTAAGTCAGAACCGTGGTCCATCAGCATGCGGTCTTGTCTACTCACAATGGCAGCCGCTCTCCAGGGTCTCAGGCAGAGGTCTTCCACATCACCTCCTACCTGACCCTTTTAGCCGGAGATGCCGGGGTTTGAACTTGGGGCCTTCTGCATGCCAAGCAGAGGCTCTTCCACTGAGCCACGGCCCCTTCCCCAAAAGGCACACCTGGACACGCGAAGCAGGCCCTTGGCCCATCAACATCAGTCTTGTCTGCTCAGACTGGTGGTGCCTCTCCAAGGTCTCCGGCAGAAGTCTTTCCCATGACCTATGGCCTGAACCTTAACTGGAGATACTGCCAGGGATTGAACTTGAGATCTTCTGCAGGCCAAGCCATGCCCTCCTCCCTAGGAATTTGTGCCCCTCTGCGGTTGTAGTCAGTCGCTTTATGTGTCCCTTGGTGTCTAACACTGGGAACTGATCACTCACAATCCCTGGATCTGTCCTGCTTCTAGCAGTGAGGGAATCCAGTTCCCAGTGAAAGATAAGAAGTTGCAAGATATTTTTTCCTTGACAACACACAGCGGAGTTCTGTCCGCACCAGTTGGTTTTCAGAAGGAAAGTCCTTCATCCTGGTGTGAGCCGCTGGCACACACCATTTCTCTCGATCCGCCGGGCAGTCGCAGTGCCACAGCAGCTGCCCTGGGCTCTAGTAGGTCTAGCAGCACAGCGCTGGATGCCGCAGAGATGGGTTGTTGGGGGCAGGCTGTTTTAGAGCTCTTGCCGGTGGCTGCTGGGGTCTTCTTCAGAGGATGCTTCTGCCAAGTTCCCCTCTGCACTCAGCTCCATCCTTGTCCTTCCAGGAGCAGAGGCAGCTCACCTACTTCATCCGCCAGCCAAATGCAGAGATCACAGAAGAGACTTTCCACAAGGTGGTGCAGTTTGGCACTGTCCGGAGACCCTACATAGATTCCCTGATGCGCCTGCTCAACGCGATCTACCTCCCCCGGCTGTTTCGTAAGGCGTCTTGGCCCGAAAGCATCAAGAATGAGTTTTTCTCTGAAATTTACCACTTCATGACCTCTCTCACAGGTAGGTCTCTGGCCATCTGCCTTCCGTCCCTGACCAGAGTTGGACGTTTTACTGTGACCCTCCTGCCCAGACCTTGACAGTCTTGTTCCCATCATCTGTGGAACTCACTGTCTCTTGTCCTCCATCCCTGCCCCTTGGATCACAATTCTTTCTTCAAAGCTCTTCTTTCCACATCCTGTTCCTTGTCCTGTTCCTAGGCCAAATAGGAGGGTTTTCTCCAAGCCAAATGACTGCTCACTTTCCCCTCAGACGTTGCTCTTGTGGCGTCCTGCTTATAGGGGAGACGGTTTTACCTTTAAACACACTCTGTGTACATGAACTTGGTAGATTTCTGCTGCCACCAGGAATTAAAAATTCCAAATCTCTCTCTTTTGGTAGAATGACCTAGGGTCTGGGTACTTCAGAGGACTATGTGGCCCTGAGGAAGGATTATTCTGATTGCTGGGATAAGTTTAAACAAAAAAATATTTATTTAATAAAGAACAAAATAGGTTTCTAGTTATTTTGAACTGTTGCTGAAGAAAGGAACTTGTAAATATAATTGGCAAAGCTTGGCATCACAAACAGTCTCTCAAACTCCAAAGTCCACTCTGACAGGCTTAGACACTCAGTCTAGTCTCTCTCTCTCATATACAGGCTAAACTCTTCGTCTTATTCACACAGAATAGACTCAACTCTCATAGTCACACAGACTAAACTGTTTGTCTTATTCACACAGAATAGATTCAAACTTTCATAGTCACACAGACTATGCTTTCTCTTCAAACTTCACACACATAATCTCCTCATAGACACACCTCCTCCCACACTCTCAGTCATCAGCCAATCACATCACACTTGTCTCCCTCTATCACTCTTCTTACATTACTGCAGTCACACTAAACATTAAAAGAAACACACACACCAAAAATGGAATCATTACAGCACTGTTCATAGATATTCTATTGCAACACCTCTCCTTGGTGTCAGTAGCCTGTTGATAACCATTTTGTGGCATCAGAGGAAGGCAGCCAATGGCTGTGGAGGAGCTTGCTGGCAGACTGGCCTCACCTGCCTTTTTGATCATCTTGTACATAAGATGGTTGTGACTAAGCATTGTATTGCTACATGTGCTGAGTTTCTTTGCTATGTTCTTGGTGCTTAGGTTGTTTCCTGTCCTCCCTATCCATGTGTTTCTCCTTGTGGTATGCCCCCTAGGAGAATGTATCAGAAAAGCTAAACACGTTTGCTTTAACGTGTAAGCAGCTTGAGAACATCAAAAGAACCCTGCTGGATCAGACCAGGGAGGGTCCATCTAGCCCAGCATCCCTGCCTCACACAGGGGCCAACCAGTTCCTCTGGAGGGCCCACAATAGGGCATAGAGGCCGAGGCTTTCAGAAGAGCATCAGAAGAGACCTGCTGGATCAGACCAGTGGTCCATCCAGTCCAGCATCCTGTCTCACACAGTGGCCAGCCAACAGGGCAGAAGGCCGAGGCCTTCATAAGAACATCAGAAGGGCCCTGCTGGATCAGACCAGTGGTCCATCCAGTCCAGCATCCTGTCTCACACAGTGGCCAGCCAACAGGGCAGAAGGCCGAGGCCTTCATAAGAACATCAGAAGGGCCCTGCTGGATCAGACCAGTGGTCCATCTAGCCCAGCATCCTGTCTCACCCAGTGGCCAACCAGTTCCTCTGGAGGGCCAACATCAGGGCACAGAGGCTGAGGCCTTCCCCTGATGTTGCCTCCTGGCCTTGGGATTCAGAGGTTGATTGCCTTCAAACAGGGAGGTTCCCTTTAGTCACCATGGCTAGCAGCCACTGATAGACCTCTCCTCCGTGAATCTGTCTAACCCCTTTCAAAGTTGTCTGTGCCTGTGGCCATCACTACATCCTCTAGTAGCTTAACTTATTCTGATTGCAGGATTCAGTTTTCTGCTTTCCCACACAGCCTAGGGGCAAGAAACAGTGTGGGCGGGGTAGGGTGTTGGAAACCGAGGCCTTGGTGAGGGGCCAAGAACAATCCGTGCTGTTTCGTGTTCCCGTCACTGCCACCGACTCCTGTAGATACAAGAAAGGGCCTGTGATTCCTGTCTCCCTTCCGAGGCAGGGCCATGAGGGGTCCCCTCCTTTTCCCCAAGGCCCCCTTTAGACACCTGCCACTGTAAAGGGACCTCCCCACTGTCTTGCATTGACAAAACTCTCCTCTGTCGTCGTCGCCTGTCTCCAGACACTCGCTCCAAGATGAGGGGTCGCACCGTTCTCTACATCCCGATTGAGGCCCTGGCCATCAAGCCCGAAGTCGCAGTCAAGGACAAAGCCCTGGTTCAGCGGCTGGAGAGTGAGTGACCGGCTGATCTCTGGGGGCCTGGGCTGGAGGGTAGAGGGGGGGTAACTGGATCAGCATAATGGGAAGAGAGCTGATGGGCAGAGGCTGGTGCATCGGCTGAGGCCCGGACCTTAAGTGAATTAACCTCCAGCAGCATATGAGCCGTATCCATCATCCCCAATCAGGGGAAACTGATTTGTCAGAAAGTGAGCGAGTGCAGGATCCTGTGGTGGTTTTTATTAGTTCTGCCACAGGCGTTTGGGAAAGGAAAGCGGGCAGAAGGGCAGGGCGGGCCTCTTCCTAGCCTCCCGTCTGGCACACACGACCTTTGGGTGAAATTTGCTTCCCCCTCCACTAAAAAAAAAATAGGAGCTGCGGTGGCTCAAGTGGTTAAGATGCTGAACTGCAGGCTGTGGAAGGTCGGTAGTTCAGCCGTTCGAGACCCGGGTGCCGCATGACGGAGTGAGCTCCCGTCTCTAGTTCCAGCTCCTGCCAACCTAGCAGTTCGAAAGCAAGACATTGCAAGTAGATAAATAGGTCCCACTTTGGTGGGAAGGGAACAACGTTCCGTGCCCCTCGGTGTTTAGTCATGCTGGCCACATGACCACGGAAACGTCTTTGGACAGCGCTGGCTCTTCGGCTTTCAAACGGAGATGAGCACTTGCAATTTCTTGCTTTCGAACTGCTAGGTTGGCAGGAGCTGGAACTAGAGACGGGAGCTCACTCCGACACTCGGGTCTCGAACTGCTGAACTACTCCTCAGCCTGCAGTTCAGCGTCTTAACCACTCGATCCACCGCAGCACCTTAGCGTATTATAGGGCAGCCAAAAAGGTGCTTGCATGCTTCTCCTCTGGGACAGAGAAGGCCTTTCTCGTGGGCGAGTTTTGGTAAATCAGGGAGAGGTTGAGTAAAATCCCAGGAGAGCTGGGAACCGGCCGTGGACTCATTTAGACTCTCACTGGAGGGGTTCTTCAGCTGTGGCTCTCCCTTGGTTCTGTGCCGCTCCTCTGCCAGCCTCTCTCTGGGCTGCTCCCCTGCGACCGGTGATTAAATTGTAAGCCCGTTGACGTGAGTCATCCTTCATCTTCCTCTCCAGCGCTTCCTCTCCTTCTCGGGTGTATTATAGATCTCCTGCTGTTGTTATTATTTTGGAAAAAATTGAGAGGGGAAGGGGGAAAAGACCATGCCCACTGAAAAAGTAAAATTTAAAATGGCAAGCACGGTAAAAAAAAATCAAAAAAAATCTGCAGGCCCTGAATGTACAGAGAGGTCTGGCACGTGGCCCTGACCGGATTTCACAGAGCCACGATGCCGGTGAGTGAGAAGAGAGCCAGTGTGGCGTAGGAGACAGAGCAGTGGACTAGCATCCTGGGCGGATCCCCACTGCTGCCATGGAAGCTTGCTGTACGGCCTTGAGCTCTTCACCAACTCTGGCCTACATCACAGGGTTGCTGTGAGAAAACGGAGGAGAGTTGAACCATGTTCTTAGTCGCTGTGAGTCCCAACTGTGGGGAGAAAAGTGGAATACAAATGAATAAATGCATAAATGTCAGTGCAAGATGTGGGGCGAGGGCCTCACTATCCCCCGGGGATATGCGCAGGGAAGGCTGCCCCCCCTCCACTGGCTCTCAGAGCTGTTGCAAAATGCTGCGGCCAGGCTGTTGATGGGACTCCCAATTCGGGAGCACATCCAGCCTGTGCCAAAGGCACTGCACTGGCTGCCGATAGCGTACCGAATTCGTTTCAAGGCGCTGGTTCTTACCTTTAAAGCCCTTTATGGTCCGGGGCCTACGTACCCGAGGGACCGCCTTTCCCCACATATTCCCCAGAGAGCACTGTGTTCAGGGGCCCAGAGCCGACGGGCCCTCCCGAGTCTTAAGGAGGCCAGGCTGTCAACAACCGGGGCCAGGGCATTCTCGGTAGTGGCTCCATCCTGGTGGAATGAACTCCCAGAAGAGATCAGGGCCCTGCGGAACCTCTCACAGGCCGCCTTCAGCTAATAGCTGAAGGATAGGAAGCCCTGTTGTCTCTGGGATCTGTAACATCAGCATGTGCCAACCGCCTGAAACACCAGGCTTTTGGAGCCGCCGCCACCATTAAACATCATTAACAACTAGTAGTTGAAGGACAGGAAGCCCTGCTGTCTCTGGAATCTATAACATCAGCCTGTGCCAGCCGCCGGAAAGACACCTGAAGTAGACCTAGGAGCCGGTTATGAGAAGAAAGAGCTAATATGGTAGCCCTCGTTGATCCAGCAACAACAATACTAGCACCTACTGTGTTATTGTTAACTTGTTTTAAATGTTTTGTTTTATTGTAAATCCAGGCTGATGTTTTGTAAGCTGCCCTGAGCCGGCCTCGGCTGGGAGGGCGAGGTAGAAATGTGAGAAATAAATAAACAAATAAGTCTTCTGGGGCACGGAGAGCAGCTTCCAGGCAAGCCCCTTCCTTTGTCGAAAGTCCCCCCCGTGGCCCTCGGTTGCCAGAATGCAGCTTCTCCTGGCCCTTCTTCACAAGCCCGCTTGCCACAGCAGGCCTGACCTCTGCTTCGGGCTCCATCGTGGCGGCCTGCTTGTTCCCGGCGGCTGTTCAGGGTACTCCTCTTGACCCTGACCGCCTTGCGCCCTCCGTCAGTTGGAAGCCGCCTCTTTCCAGAAGCTTCATCGCGGCCGCCCTGAGCACCTTCTCAGTCACACCAGCATCTGGCTGTGGCGGGGAAAGGATTCCCACGGGCCTTGGCCCCTGGGAGGTACAGCCAGGCACAGCCTTAACTGGTGTCCATTTTGGAGAGGATGACGAGGCGGAGGAGAGCATGACACACTTTATTCTGTTTCTTCTCCCCCCTCCATTTTTAATTGATATCGGTCTGAAACGGGATTCTTTCATAGATCTCTCCCGCCCTTTGCTTTCCTCGCCTTGTGAGAGCCGTTTCTCTGTGCCTAAGGGGAAGGGCACGACCTTCCTACTCCTGTCTGTTCGCCTGCCTCAGGGCAGGCGCCTTTGGAGGCAGAGGAGTCCATCTCTTCCCCCTTTTCTCCTCAGGAACTGCTTTTAACCTCCGAGCACTGTTTCAGAGGAGTGGGGCAGGGGGAAATCCCCACTGGGAACCGCCAATTTCCTCTCCTTCCCAACAAATTCTGAGGTAAAAGTTTCCCCCTTTGAAGCAAAATTGAGCCCCACGGAGCCCCGCTGCCAGATCTTTGTATGTCTGAACACAATGGCCTTATACTGGATGAGGGCAGTGGTCCCTCAGGGTCAGTACTGGCTACTTAAGAGGGTCCCCAATCTTTTCTGAACCTGCGAGTGCCTTTGGAATTCTGACACCGCGTGGTGGGCGCGGCCACGACATGGCCGCCGAAGGGGGTGGAGCCGGCCACAAAATGGCTGCCTCAGCTTGCCGTTAGTCACACAGCAAAGATCCCTGTGCCACAGTGGCAGCTGCCGCCAAAGCAACGTTTTTAAAAATCTTCACAGCCCATCAAATCTCTAATGGTCAGTCAGTCAGAAGCTTTGGTGGTGGCAAGTGTCGTCGAGTCGCAGCTGACTTACGGAGAAGACCCTGTAGTCTTTCGAAGGCAAGAGACACTCAGAGAAAGTTTGCCATTACCCCCGGGTCTGCGTAGTGACCCTTGGTGGTCTCCCGTTTAAGTACTAACCAAGGCTTACTCTGCTTAGCTTCTGAGATGTGACGGGATTGGCTTGGCCTGGGTCATCCAGGTCAAGGCAGCGACAAACTGAGGTGGTTCGCCATTGCCTGCCTCTGTGTAGCAACCTGGACTTCCTCGGTGGTCTCCCATCCAATTTCTAACTAGGGCCAACCCTGCTTAGCTTCCGGGATCCGACAAGAGCGGGCTACCCTCAGGGCCTTACTGGGTGAAATCCCACCCAGCCCCACCCACTGTGACGGGCACCAGGAAGAGTGTCAGCACAGGCCCATGTTGGGGGTCCCAGCTCAATGTCCCCTCTAAGCTGAGTTAGCGTGAGCGAGCTCACAGTTTTTTTAGCCTCCGGCTCACAGATTTTTGTCTCAGCCCAGGAAGGAGGGCTCCAGGGCAAACTGATTTCTGCAGGAGCCAAATTGCTCGCTCACAGCTTCAATGCCGGTAGCTCACAAAATAGATTTTTCGCTCACAAGGCTCCACAGCTTAGAGGAAGCGTTGGACTACTCAGAACAGCAGTGGCTCACCAGAGTGTCTGGGGGAGGGCTTTCACATCACCTACTACCTGATTGCATAACTAGAGATGTTGGGGGATTGAATTTGGGAACTTCTCTGCCTGCGTGCCCTTGAGACTTGGGCTACCCCCCAATTGTTACCCTGTCCAGACCTCCTGACCTCCTGCCCCCTGGGCACGGGACTTCCATTAGTTGGCGAGAGAAATCGCCAGTCAGATCCGGAACGGCAGCTCTTTTGGTCCGCCCTGCAGAAATTCAATTGAACGCCTTCCTACGTACAAGCGAAAGAGATGCCGACCGAATTATGCGGCAAACAGGTCTCTGTTAGGCGTAATGAAGCAAATTCTTGGCAAAGGTGTGACTCATTGCTAGTTATTTCTTCCTAATGCTCACGGCAGCAGGGCCCCACTGGGAGAGGGGTCTGGCCCCCCTTACCCGACCTACATCACATCCTGGCTGCTTGAGGGATGGTTTGCCTGTTACGTTTTCAAAGCGCCCCCACCCTGTGATGCTGCTTGTGCCTCACGACTGGAAGAAGCGCATGCGAGGCTCCTGTTGGGGTGACGGCCTACTCCAGGGCCCTGGCTTGGCCACACAAGCATGTGCATGACCCGCAAATCTGGATTTGCAGCCGTATATCATGTGACCTTCCTGCCACCCAGTTTTCTGGGACATGGGACAGCCAATGCCTTCCTCCGCCTGCCATGCTTGTAATGTTACATAAATTGCCATTAATGCCAGCTTTTACAGTGGAGGAAAAATAAAAGGCTTTTAGTAACAACAGGCAGTAATTAACTGGTTCTCTGGTTTAAATGAAGCCGTTCCTCTGTGTGCCCCGTCCCAGTTCTGGAAGCGGGCAGAGTTCAGGGGGAGAGGCCCAGTTGGCCGATGTCACTCCTTTCCCCACCTTTTTTGTGATTCGGGGGGGGAAAAATGGTTCAGACATAAAGGGAGACGGCCCTCGTGGCTTGCGCATTATTTTATATCTGGATGAGAGTTTTGGGGACTCTTGTCCTAAACAATGGCGCGGCGCATCCCCTTTCAAAGTTTAAAAGCCTTCTGAAGAAAACCCCCACTGCCAAACGCAGACGGAGGATTTGAAAATTCGCATGATTGTCCCGTAATGAGAACCTTGTGTGGTTGGCAGAGCCCAGCCTGTGATGTGCGGCGTGCATTAACAGTCTTCCCCTGGCTGGGTATTTTGCATGGCAAGGCATGCTTGGGTTAAGCATCCAATTGGCTACCTCGGGTCGTCTCTTGTGTGACTAAAACCTCAGCTGTTATCAAGCACTTAGAGATACTTGGCTATTCTAATCCCCGGGCTGTGTGATTGTCTTACCCCTGTAATTTGGCTCAGGAACTGCAGCTTCCACGCTGTGATACTAACTCTTCCTAGATGGTTGCTCTGCAGCTATTAGCCTCTTCCATTCGGAGAGCGGGGGGAAGGGGGAGGCAGGAAACTTAGTTCGCTTCCCTCTCAGCCAACTTTCCCTCCTGTGGGGGGTGGTGGTGGTGGTCAGGCTTGTCTTGGTGGGGATTTCCACTCTGGGGCTTGCTGGGCGTCTGGCAGTGTCGAGGGTCTCCCTTGTTCCAGGCCCCCTTTGTGAATCGGACATACAGGCCTCCCCCTCCTCTTGGAGGCCCCCCATCCGCTAGTGTGCTCAGACGCGATGCATTTGGGATCCATCAGACAACAGACCACAAAGTAGAAGGCAATTTCTGCACTAACCCAGACGCGGCGACCAAAGTCTCATATTTAAAGAGCGAGGATGACTAGGCATTCAGCAAGCCGCAGTGCTTCGCATAAGGAATGGCTGGGACGGAAGTGGGCTGCCCGTGCAGAAGAGCAGCGCGGGGCGATGCGATACTCAGAATAGGGTTGCATCACACAGACAAAGCGGAATGGCCCCGGGGCCTCTCCGAGGTGTCGTTCCAGAGGGTGCCCCTTAACTCCTGTATGGGTCACTCAGGTCCTTCCCGCTCTTGGATCTCATCCCTGGTTTTATCGGAGTTCAGCTCGCGACACAATGCCTTGCATTTGTCCCTGGTTATAACAGCATCCGTTTATCCCGGGACAAGTGTGGGGCGAAACCTCAATGTAATGTGGAAACAAAAAAATACCCCGAGATAATTACAGGGGTGAACGCAAGTGTAGTGTGGTGTAGAATGTAAAAATACCCCGAGATAAGTTCGGGGACAGGGTTGAACCAGGATTTAAGGTCCAGTGCAGAAGGGACCTCAGTCGCTTGGTGCATGATTCCCACCACTACTGACACCACCAAAGGAGGATCTTCTTCAGCGAAGAAGCCACGTGACAATATCCCAAAGTCCCCGTTTGCTTCCCAGAGAGGAAACAGAGCGTCTCTCTACACTGGGCAGTAGCGTCTTGAAGGGGAATGGAGTGGGCCCTTCCCTGTTACCATCCCCATGGACAGATACAGTTCAGGAGTTGTCAAGGGAGGACGTGTTCCAGGTACCCTCCTGACTTTGTGAGCATGGCAGGACTGGGAGGGCATTCCGTGGCACGCTTAGTGCAAATGTCTGTTTGTGTGAACGAGGCCAGAGTGTGTACCTCAGAACTGACTTAAAGGTGGAACTTCCTGGCACAGCTTTGCATGCCAGCATGTTCCCGCTAAGCTGAGTCAGTGTGAGCCAGCTCACAGTTTTTTATAAGCCTCCAGCTTAAACATTTTCGCCTCAGCTCAGGAAGGAGGGCTCCAGAGCAAACTAATTGATGCAGCAGCCAAATCACTCGCTCATGACCTTAATGCCAGTCGCTCACCAAGTAGAATTTTTGCTCACAAGACTCCACAGCTTAGAGGGAGCCTTGGTCCCCACCTGGACTACAAACCTCTGGCATGCAAAACAGCTGAGAGGAGCGTTTAAATGGAATGTGGGCTGGGGGGGGGGGAAGGTTGCGGTGGGGAGATCTTCTTACCTGCCCGGCATTTCTTTTAAATGGGACCTTGGTGATTCGTAGTCGATATAGAAAGCTCTTGATGTCAGTCGGCTAACCTCACCTACTCACTGTGGGGCATCGGGTGTGGGGGCTGGCCTGTCCCACAACTGCACTAGGCCCAGCTCTCTGCCAGTAGGCTGTGCAGCCTCTTCAGCCATACAAATCAGCAAGGATCCTTTGATTTCTTGATTTGTGCTCCGCCTTTCTCCCCCCCCCGTGGGGACCCAGGGTGGCTTACATAACTCTCCTCTCCTCCGTCTTCTCCTTACAACAGCCCTGTGAGGTAGGCTAGGCGGAGAGTGTGTGACTGGCCCAAAGGCATCCAGTGAGCTTCCGTGGCAGAGTGGGGGTTCAAACAGGTCTCCCAGACCCTAGTCTGATGCTCTAACCACTACATCACCCTGGTCCTCTGCATGGGGGATTCTTCGATATGGAGGAGTGGGAGGCCACAGAGTCGTGTAATGATAGTTTGTTGTCCAGATTCAGCTGACCAGAGGACCCTCTGTTAGTCGTTTTGCTTTTGGCTTCCAGCTTCCATGATTCACTGGACCCGGCAGATCAAGGAGGTGCTGAGAGCCCAGGAGGCGGTGGAAAACCGAGAGAGCGCCGGCCCGCTGGAAGAGATCGAGTTCTGGCGGAACCGCTGCACGGACCTGTCCGAAATCAGCAAGCAGCTCTGTAAACAGGGGGTGAGGCACATCGAGTCCATCTTAGTCCTCTCCAAGTCTTCCTACGTGTCTCCGTTCCAGCGACTCGCCAAACAGATCCAGGTGGGTGTGTCTGGCCGGCATCCGGATGGCGTTGCCGCAGGGAAAGGACCCCCCCAGGCCACTCGGAGAAGTGGTGGGGCCTCCTTCCTCGGAAGGGCCGAGGTCGGCCCAAGACGGGCCAGGTGTGTGTGTGTGGGCTTTCGGTGCCGCCTCTTCTGTTCCGCGCCCCAGCGGCTTGGTCCGATGCTTCATTGCCATTGCTTGCAGGACGGGTCGGAACAGGCTCAGTCCAACCTCCGGTTCCTGTCGATCCTGAAAGAGCCATTCCGGGAGCTCTCCACACTACGCCCCAAAGATATCCCCAATAAACTGCCCTACCTCATCAGCCTGGTCCGGATCGTGTGGGTCAACTCCCCATACTACAACAGCAGAGAGAGGATCACGGCGTTCTTCCGGAAGGTGGGGCTGCGTCTATGTAGCGCGCAGGCGGGGATTGTTTGGCAATATCGTTTTGGTCAGGATGGGATCGAGGGAGCCAGAAGCGCCTCTGAAGAGGCCAGATTTAAACACCATCCAAGATTTTCCTTGCAGGCACATAACATTTCATTGACACGGGGCAGCCCCGCTCCGCAAAGCTCCCCCCCCCCCGTGTGCACAGTTGCTTGGCACGGGTAGCAGCCCAGATTCAACAAGGTGTCGTGCTTGTGTGGCGTCCCACAGGGGAGTGCTTTTGCTTCGCCGGTGTCCTTTGTAAATCCAGCCTGATTTCCCTGTAGATGAGCAACAAAATTATCCAGATGTGCTGCAAGGACATCTCCCTGGATCGCCTCTTTGAGGGCTACATCGACTCCAGCAGGCAGACGCTCCACAGCTGCATCGCCTGCATGTCCTCTTGGAAAGAGTTGCTACCTCTATGCGGCCCACATGCACAACAAGTAAGGGGCGCTGGGGCTGTGGTGGGGGCGGGGGCCTCCAGGGGACCTCCCCATGGAATGGGGAACCTTGAGGCAGGAATCAGGTAGGCGCCTCTCCAGAGACCCACTTAAGGCGGCTCAGCAGATAAAGTGGTCCAGGAAAATCATACGTCTGCAGCACCAAAGGAACCAGAGCATAAAAGCAGTGCAAAATTATGTCCAGTGTTCTTGATGGTCACAAGACAGTCCTCAGGCTATAAGCAGACCATGGAAACAGCTAAACAGCCCCTCCCCCCAAAAAACCCTCCATTAAAAACCTGTGTGAGAAGGAATGTTTTGATGTGGCACTTAGGTGGAAAGTAAAAGAGGTACCCCCACCAATGCTCCCTCTAAGCAGTGGAGTCCTGTGAGCAAAAATTCTACTTTGTGAGCTACTTGCATTAAAGTTGTGAGCGAGCCATTTGGCTGCTGCATAAATCAGTTTGCTCTGGAGCCCTCCTTCCTGAGCTGAGATGAAAATGTGTGAGCCGGAGGCTTATAAAAAACTGTGAGCTAGCTCACACTAACTCAGCTTAGAGGGAACACTGACCCCCACTGTCTCTGCTCCACAGCTGTATCACCCCTGCAGGTAGGAGCCCAGAAAGCAGGGCTTTGGGGGGGTAGCGTCTTAACTGCCGGGCTGGTCTGGGGAACCGCTTTACTTGGAACAGAACCTGGCCTCCTCCTGGCCTCACTGTCCAATTGGTTCTGCTCAAGGTCTTTCCTGGTGGTGCGGTCCTGGCTGGAGTCGCCGCTGGTCTTGTTTGTTTGAGTCGGCTCTGTTGGGCGAAAGGGAGGGGGTGAACGGAGGGGCGGCCCTCATGCTTCGAGTTGAGGGGGCTGGACTGTCCTGGTGTGGAGAGAGTTTTCTCAGAGAAGTGAAGGTGGCTTGCAAGGAGAGAGGAGAAGAAGAGATTGGATTTCTACCCTGCCCTTCACTACCCAAAGGAGCTGCAGTGGCTCAAGTGGTTAAGACGCTGAACTGCAGGCTGTGGAAGGTCGGTAGTTCAGCAGTTCGAGACCCGAGTGTGCCGCGTGACGGAGTGAGGCTCCCGTCTCTAGTTCCAGCTCCTGCCAACCTAGCAGTTCGAAAGCAAGAAATTGCAAGTAAATAAATAGGTACCACTTTGGTGGGAAGGTCACAGCGTTCGTGCGCCTTGGTGTTTAGTCATGCCGGCCACATGACCACAGAAACGTCTTCGGACAGCGCTGGCTCTTCGGCTTTGAAACGATGAGCACCGCAACCCTAGAGTCGGACTCGACTGGCTTTTGAGCAAGGGAACCTTTACCTTTTTTACCTTCTCTACCCAAGGGAGTCTCAGAGCGGCTTACAAACTCCTTTCCCTTCCCCTCCCCACAACTGTGAGGGAGGTGGGGCTGAGAGAGCTCTGACAGAAACTGCTCTTTTTCAAGGACAGCTCTGACAGAACTATGGCTTGCCCAAGGTCATCCAGCAGGTGCAAGGGGAGGAGTGGGGAATCAAAGCCGGTTCCCCCAGATTAGAGTCCGCGCACTTAACCAGTGCACCAAACTGGGATTAAGAGTGGGAATAAGACTATAAGAACATCAGAAGAGTCCTTCTGGATCAGACCATTGCTACACCCTTTGGCAGCAAAGTCCATATTTTACTCACTCTCTGTGTAAAGAAGTATTTCCTTTTGTCCCTCCTGAATCTGTTGCCCTTCAGCTTCACTGTATGCTCTCAAGTTCTAGTATTTTGGGAGAGGGAGAAACTGCGCAAGGTGTGTACATGTAATCCCATTGTCACCACTGTGGTTTCGATTGGTATTGATTCTGAAAGAATCTGAAAGAAATCCGAGCTGAAAGAAGTAGGTGTGTACCTCAGGGGAAACAAAATCTCCCTCCACCAATGTCTAGCCATGATCTGTCAGTAGTCTTGCTTCTGTTTTTTCCCTGTCATTTCTTCATCACACTATATCCCCCTCTAGATTCAGAGGCAGTCAGTTTCTGAATCCCAACGTCATGAGGCAACCTCAGGGGGAGGCCTCGGCCTTCTATGGCCTGCTGTTGGCCCTCAAGAGGAGCTGGTTGCCTGCTGTTTGAGACAGGATGCTAGACTAGATGGACAACTGGTCTGATCCAACAAGGCTCTTCTTAAGCCCTTGTGAAGGCCTCAGCCTCTGTCTATGCCCTGTTGCTGGCCCTCCAGAGTAACTGGTTGGCCACTGTTTGAGACAGGATGCTGGACTAGATGGACCACTCGTCTGATCCACCAGGGCTCTTATATACTTATGAAGGCCTCTATGCCCTGTTGTTGGCACTCCAGAGGAACTGGTTGGCCACTGTGTGAGTCAGGTTGCTGGACTAGATGGATCCTTACTGGTCTGATCCAACAGGGCTCTTCTTGGGTTCTTATCAGGGGAAGGCCTTGGCCTCTCTGTCCTGTTGTTGGCCCTCCAGAGTAACTGGTTGGCCCCTGTGTGGGACGGGATGCTGGACTAGATGGACCCTCACTGGTCTGACCCAGCAGGGCTCTTCTTGGGTTCTTACCTGGGGAAGGCCTCGCCCTCTCTGCCCTGTTGTTGGCCCTCCGGAGGAACTGTTATACAAATTAATATCCAGTCAAAAATAGAAGATTGAAGTCAAAATGAGGAGGAAGTTCTTGTATTTTATTGCAATGAAATACAGAAAGGACCCATCAAAGTTGACTGCTTTCTGAGCCCAATCAGGAAATACATGAAGTTAAATACTTAAAATGACATCATCATATCATCATCATGGGAATAATATTCAAAAGGCATAATTGGTTACAAAAACGTAAACAACATTTACATCAAAATCTCCTTATTGGTCAAATGTAAGAAAGGTGTGTCTGTGCAATAGCGTCACATATTTT